ATAATATTTCTGTAATTTACTGATAATTTAATAACATAATTTCTGAAACCATTGCTCTCGAGCGATATAGGGCTATCGCATTATTGTTAATGTGGAAATGCACGTTCAAAAATACGATAATCGCTTAATGCACGAGAGTGATAGTTTCAAGAATAGGTCCTCCGATCGGCAGCTTCAATTGGTCACATTACCGTACTTTTATCTGTAGGATAATGGTACATCGTACATCATAATGAATAATCGTACGTGTACAATGATTATCGTACGTCTAGCAACACTGCTCGTACGTTAAGCATCGATTTCAAAGAGTACTGGCACGAAAGAGCATTATTTACTTATATTTCAAATTCCCTTCCAATTGAGCATGGAGACCCGCAAGGTTCGATCTTAGGTCGGAAGGACATTATTTACGTATCTTTTGGTTTCATTACCAATTCAATATGGGGTCCCGCAGGGTTCGATCTTAGGTCCTATTCTCTTTCTGTTATACGTAAACGATATGCCCTCGTCTATTAAAAACGGAAGAACGGTTTTGTTTGCCGATGACACGAACGTTCTTTGCAAAGAAGAAACAATAAATAGTACGATTTCAGAAGTTTCAAATTGGTATTGTAATAACAAATTACTAGTTAACGAAGGAAAAACAGTTTCAATGCATTTTGCATTTCAAATCAGCAATCGCATGCTCCATTGAAAATGAACAATATGCAATTAGCTGATGTTAAGGTAACAAAATGTCTAGGTCTCTCAGTTCAGTCAAACCTCAAACTGAATGTACATATAAAGGAATTAAACACTAAATTAAGTTCATTATGTCACGCATTCAGAATTATTTCAAATTGTCAGCCTTCATGGAGCTCTTTGCGTGTATTTTGCAAATATACACGTACAAAATTTGTAAATGAAGATAAAGAATACTACGCAAATGCCACCTCTGTCATGTATACACTTGATAAGAATTATAAACTATGTATCATTCTTGTAAACAAGGAGATGGGAATACCTTACACAATAATGAATTGTTTACTCATTACTGAAGCCATTTACACATTTCTTAGACAACATTCTTTGTGCTGTAGTAGTCTTTGTTTTCAAAAGTTGGTAATCAATTGAGGTTGTACAGTCTTGTTACAAATAGTTTCCCTTATATTTATACAGATATTTTCGGTCACGTCTCCAGCTATGGTCATTAGTCGCGTTAGTGCAGTGAATGTACATATATTCAGGGAGATGACGGTGATTCTTCTAGGGACATCAGGCGCTGACCTACACATCGGCTTGCAGGGTACCTCCTAAGCTCTAATCTCCTGACTGGCCTCCCGACATATGAGATCGTGTATTACATGTAAGTGTAACTTGTGTTTAAGGGAAACGGGTAGGACAAGGAACAGGACGGAAAGATCGCGCGCAGTCCGTGGTCCGCTTGTTAAGGTTGCTTCACTATTGCCTGTGAACGGGAACGGCAACGCGAGGTACGCGCACGTTTTCTTGATATTTCGCAGCGGGGGGGGGGGGAGAGGAGGGCTCTGGCTAAGCCACGTCTTAAAAGGGAGCACAAACTGTAGGCATTAACTTAACTCGCCAAAGCGTGCCACAAGAAATGCTACGATTGTTTTGAAAGTACGAGGTGGTTGTTTCCAGCATTGCCAATTGGTACGTGCCGTTCCGTGTCGAACCTATTTCAACGGGCCGTGCTATTCAGCGCTGGGGAGGACAAAGATGCTCGTGTATCAAGAAACCTTGCGCGTGTAATACGTGCACTTCACAATGAAAGCCAACAGGAAGAGGAATAGTTCTATGAATCTGTAGCGGCAAAAAAAAGAGAACGTCAAGAAGCATTTGCCGAAACCAAAGCTCATTTAGCTACGCTACTCTGTTCACTTTTTGCTTTTCCATCTCTGCGTAGTATGCTGCTTAGAATAAATACTTTAAGGACAGAATATTAATTAGAAAAAACTAAGAATGAATAAAAATAAAATCTACTACGAACATATGGAAATTACAACTACAATATTAATAAAAGTTCAAGTTAAAATATATCATTACAATTTCCCTTGATAAAATTTTAACTTGAAGAACTGTTTTTTATTAATATTTTAGTTGTAATTTCCATATGTTCGTAGTAGCTTTTATTTTTATTCATTCTTAGTTCTCTGAGAGAGAGAGAACAATTATACAGTAATTACTAAAAAGAACTAAAGCAACTCAACAATGACTAACAAAACCCACCTCAAACCCTAACCTCGCAAATACACGCTCTAACATCAATATCGCACTACGCTCAATTCTGCTCCAGACCAATGTCGCGCGTCCAGACCAATCAGCTAGAAAGCTTCTGTTGGTCGAAAAGCTTCCCCTTCCCGAGCCAAGATAAATGTTTAACATCTTTCCCGTTGCCGTCGTGTTGTTAACGTCTGCCTGTGATGGCAGTCTCAACTTTCATTACGTTCCCGTTCACGGACTATTATGGAGCGGGCTTCAGGCTCCCCATTCTTCTGTTACTGATCAGAGAAACCATGGATAACTACCAATCTGAGCATCTGGCTGCCAGATTTCTCCTCCAAACAGCGGCTGAATTAGACCTAGCTGTGTAGGTATTGTCGAAAATCCGGCCCGTCGGGACTCGATTGCTACCTACTGGTCAGAGTCGCTGCAGAGGCAGCGTAATGCGTTTCAAGTCTGATCATTAGAAAATCACTTCCTCAGTGCAGTAAAGGCTTTATTTTTGCTTAACTGAATGACCAAGAAGTACAGCCTTTCAATAAACTACCTTTAAGCCGGTCAGATGGCCGAGATAGTTAGGGCAGTAGTGCAATTGCGGACTCGGACCAGAAGACCGTGGATTCGAGTCAAGCCTCGGGCATGGGTGTATTTGTGTATGTCTATGTGTGTGTGCCGTCATTTCATCCCTCACCATCGCCATCCATATCCCCAGGACTAACAACTTGGGGGGATAAAATCGGGATTCAGTTATATGCTATTTGCACCTGTTGAAGCAGGATGCACGCATGATCCGAGTTGCCCTATACGCGAAAAAAAACTACCTTTAATTTAACAATATTAATTTTCAGATATAAAATAAATTATAGAGAAACACTTCAGAAATGTTCAAAATTATATTAATCTCCTTAAATTACCAATATCATCAAAAAGCAGCATTCTAAATTATCGGTTTTTGAAATTTTGAGAAAGGAATGAGCTACATTCTCAGTGCAGACAATTTACATCTCCCTCTGCTTTGGGCATGATTTAGTGACAATCATGTAATCATTATTTACTGTATTGTCTATTCAACATGTCATATAATTTCTTCACAAGAGATTTTGCTTAATAAGAATTAACATTTCTCATGTTTACATGGCAATGAACATTGGAGGTGGCTTTAGAATTCAGGCATTTAATTATACTTGACAATTCATGTTCATACTTGTTTAAATAAGTACTTGTAAAATATTCTATTACATTTTACTATTTTTATATAATACAGTAAAACTTGCTCAATGCAGGTGTGTAATGTGAAAATCTGACCATAATGTGAACATAAAACCAGGCAAATGTAAATTCTACAGTACTTCAATGTATAATGCAGAATTTTGCCTAATGCATAAAACTAACTGATCCCTTGCATTGAACCCATTTTACTATATTTTGTTTTGCTTTGTACAAAGCTCAGATACTAAAAATAAAATAATAATAATAATAATAATAATAATAATAATAATAATAATAATAATAATAATAATAACAATAATAATAATAATAGTAATAATAAAAACAAAGTAAATTCCCATGTGTATATTATTTCAATGTATTTTTTTTTCAAGAAATAGGAGCCTTTATTGCCTTAATATCAAATATCCATTTGGTTCAGTTTCTTATGAAAATAGAGGAAGCCGGGGACGTTTGAGACATATTTCAGAATTTGTTTATTTGAAAATAGTATAATTTAAAACAAAATTAAGCAATATATAGCAAATAATTATAATACATTTCATGGTTTCTTTAAATTGCATGTTGAGGTATTCTATAAACCACCTTTTGTATATGGCCTTCGAAATTGAGGGAGCCCTTGGGACATAGTTATGAAGGTTACAAATAGTTCTGTATCTTCACCACTCCAAAACACGCAAGGCTTGAGACACATATATTATACATTCAATTTTACAAGAAAATTGATTTCATAAAATAGTAGAAAACATTTTACAAGAAATTTAATTACTAATTATTCTCAATAAACAAAAATGATGGATTTCTCAAAAAAAAAAAAAAAAAAAAAAAAAAAAAAAAAAAAAAAAAAAAAAAAAAAAAAATTGACAATTTTGAGGCCATGTTCACTGAGATTTAAAATGAACAGGTTGTGGCAAGGATGGAAAATTCTAGTCTGAAAGCCATCTTGAGAAGAACAGGACTGCTATGCCTGAAAATAAGATAACTGAACTGTAAAATATTGTTACCAAACTGCATGGACATGTTCATAACTGTGAAAACATGATTACCCTGTCTCAAGATCTGACAGAGCTGTGGTTGAAACTGAATCAAAATAAATTTGATAAAACAAAAACTTGAGAGTAAAACTTGTTCAAACACTGTAGCAGAAAAATTACCCAGGTAAATGCTATCTAAAGTTGAAAGAGAAGGAAGAACAATAACCAGTCTCAAATGTACATCAGAGATGAAAAAGTGCAAAAAGTCTTGAAGAGATTTCTCTCTGCTCCTAGTTCGATTTCAGCACTGTCTGTCATTCAGCCATCACTGAACAGTGGCAGTGCTTCTGCATCCTTGTTAGTGAATTGCATTTGCCTTCAGTTGGTTGTCTGCAGAGTGCTAGTAAGTAGTACCATACTCCTGGATGTTATCCCGGGAGTGTTGCTACTCTCTCCGACATCATTGCAGTCGAGATGTTGGAGAGACATTTGGTTTTATCACTGTTCCAATGTGCCCACTCCACTGAACATTGTCTTGCAAGCAAAAATGAAAAAGCATAAGTCAAGATTTGGAGACACGACTTGATCTCCTCCCCCATATCTCACACACAATGCTTTACTGTTTTTTGACTAAATAAATAAAAACTTTACAAGGCTGATTTATTTTCTTCCCCACCCATCCCCCATTCATAAAAAAGGTTCTTTCCTGGAGAACCTCCCACAAAAGATGTTTCCAATAAAACTATATTTAACCCTAAAAGTTGGATATAATGGAACCGAACATGCTGAAATGATAAATATTACACTAGTCTATTCAAAATAAAAATGTAGCCCTCATGTTGAAAAGATTTTGCCAAAATGTTTACTTCTTTTACTTGACACCTCAAACTCCCTCCCAGTTCAAAAATGCTTCAACCTCACTACAATACAATAAACTAAATTGCATTGCTGTTAGTGTACCAAGGAAGCAATTCATCCCATTTCAGTAACATTAAATGCATCAGACCATATATTCATGAAAAATTGCTTAGTGTCAATAAGTATGTGCATTAGGGTGTCCCAAGACATAACAGAATTTTTTTTCTGAGAAATCAGATATGCATAGCCCTCTATATTTTTTGTGTTTGATGTCAAAAACTAAAATTATAAATATTATTGCGAATGCATAAGGATAACCTGTACTGTCTTATTGACAAATATAAGACAAACTTTTGTACTGAGTTATTAAGGAGGATTCGAGATCTCAATGTTTTGGGGTTATTAAAGCACAAATATGTCCAAATCATAAACCTATTTAATATTTGTACATTTTCTTTTCAAAGTTTGCTTTCTACAGTCACAATAAACCTCTTGATGTTCTTGTATGCAACATTATAAAAACTGATTTTGTTCCTCTTTAACTATAATGTAACCATGAAAGTCTTGCATCAACTTGACCGCTCTTTCAGCTGAATCGTTCACTGCCATTAGCATTGAAAGCTTCTTTCTAGCTTCTTCAAACTAAGCATTAATTGACCACAAAGTAGCACATCATAGAGAAAACTGTCATTAATTTTAAGATGTTCAGACAAAAAATTTCATTCACCGAAATCAAGACATATATGATTTTCTCTTATGATGAACCCATAAAGTTTTTTCTGCGTTGGGATGTAACTTTTATCATAGGTCCATACATTTTTAATGGATAACAAATTGGATGACAAGACAGATCATACTCATCACTCAAATACCATAAATGCTGGTTTAACTTTTGTAAAGCTGCCTCCCAACCTGTATTTAAAGTTGTGGTACCACAACAAAGAATTTGCACTTCATCTTCAAGATTCATCTATAATCGCATTCTAAAGAGCTTGCGCATGTTTGCTTTCTTTGTTCCTTTCTAAGAGCTTTCCAAGCTTGGTACAGCAATAAGTTGTTATTTCTGTATGAAATAACATTCAGAAGATGTTATTCTTTTGATTTCATTTCATAAGATCATTTTTGTTCATCTAAAGTAGGCTACAGTTTTCCATCAATGTGAACAGTCACATCTGGTACCTTGTTTTGAAAATCACCTTTTATGGCTTCCACACACACTTTTTGTTAATTCGTACGAATTCTTTGAATTGAGTACTCATTGAAAATCTTTTGAATTGATTATTATTATTGAAAATTCGTAAGTATTATGTCCAAGAGCCTCAATGGTAGCTTCAAGAGCATACACAGAATCTCTCATACTTAGCTGACACCTATTAAGCATTGCTACTAGTAATAAAATCATTCCACTTGGATGTTGTCCTGTTCATGTGTTATTGACCAGGTTGGCAATCTGCTTACAAATTCATATTTTCATTAGTATGAAAAGAAAAATCTTTTTTAACAGTTCATAAGATGGTATCAAAGCAGTTGGCATGGAGAAATAGTAAGCAAATATTAATATTTTGAGGAAAGTTTTGAACTCATTATTTGATGTAACATGTTCTCTATTAAAAAATATACTCTTTTTAGAATTGCTTAACTGCACCACCTTGTCAACTATTTGAAAACAATACATTTACTAACAAAGTGGTAAGTAGTAAGGGTTGCCATACATGAAATTTAACTTACTATTGTTTTGATCTCAAACAAAAAAAATAATTAAAAAATTAAAAGCGTTAGAAAAAATACTTTGTTTTATATTGGAGAGGGGACCCCCTAATGGCCATTCAACAGTTGTGCAAAATCTATCTATGACTATTTTGATGTTTTTTCCTGTCACTGCGCTGAGCGAAACCCCGACCACAAATTTGGCAAAGATATGGTTTCTCACCCGTGTGTGTTCGAGTATGCACAACCAAGTTCAATTTTCTTCTAAATTTCTTTGGACAATACTCACACTGAAAAGGGAATATGTCTGAATGAATTCTTTCATGTAATTTTTGCTGTTGTCGTATCCTAAACAACTTCCCACAAGTCGAGCACTGATGTGGCCTTTCACCAGTATGAATCCGCAAGTGATTCACTAATGTAGCTTTGGCGGAGAATTTTTTGTTGCACTCTTTACAGGCAAAATCTCTTGCTTTATTATGAACCGTATGCTTGTGACGAATCACACCATTAGGCTGAGCAAATAGTTTTCCACATTCATCACACTCATGCTTCTCTTTTTTGTGAGTCATTATGTGTGTTCTATGACTTCTCCATGTCCTTGACTCTTTACCGCACTCATCACACTTTAAATCCTTACCATGAACCTCATTCCTATTGACTCTCTTTTTAAGATTTCTATTGTTTTTGTGAGTTAGAAGATGCCTTGTCATATGAGACTTTCTCTTGTATGATACACCACATATGCTACATGAATAAGGACGTAAAGCAGAGTGACTGATTAGATGAGTCTGCAAATCTTTCTCATTAAGAACCATTTTGTCACACAGTTCACAAACTAAATAATCGCCATGATTCTTTAAATGTTCCATAAGCTCAGCCTTTGTTAAAAATTTGGCAAAACATTTTTCACATTTTAATTTACGACTTCCTCTGCCCAAATGATGCATTAGATGTTCTTTCAAAGTACTTTTTAATTTGTAACTCTTTCCACAGAGTTCACAACTATATTCACCATCAGTTCTTTCAGTCGAATGACAAGAATTATTTGAATGACTGGAATTAGGTGGGTTATTGAAATAATTTAGATCAGAATAATCTGAAGCATGAAGATCAGTTGAGTGATGTGATGAATAGGAGGCACGAGTGGCAATTTCTAAACGTTTTTTTGATTTAATGCATTGTTTAATATGATATTTCAGCGATCCACTAAGCATGAAACTTTCACCACAATATTTGCAATAAAATGGTGCTAGTTGTGTATGAAATCTAGTATGAGTTGCTAAAACTGTAGAAACATAAAAACTACATTTACAATATTTACATTTGAAAGCTCCATCATTTTTCATCTTTTCCCATTGTACAACAATATACATTATCTTTTGAAATCCATTTCTAATCATTCTTAATCTATATTTATAACGACATGTCTTCCTCAACATACTTTGTGGATCAGAGTATTCTCTGAAGACAGCTGAAGACTCAGTTTCATTAACTGTGTTTGAATCATTACTATCAGGTAAAATATCACGATGAAATTCAATTTGAGAATCAGCAGTATCACATGAACTTTCAGCAATCTCATTTTGAACTTCCCTACTTAACACTGTTGTGACACAAGTGTCATCAGTCTTTAGATAATGTGCTGCATTAAAATGAGTCCCTGGATTAATCATTTGTGTGGACTGTGCAGGAGTATGACCGGCATGATCTGTTCCCTGGTGATTCCTTGAATGAACAGTAGGGGCAAGTGTGATTGCTGCATCTGATTTGCCAACAGACTGGCCATCAATAATGCCATTCTCCAAATCATCTAGTAGAGCACTTGCATCAGAGTTTTCATATACGGAGAATGAGGCATTGTCTATTCTGCTTTCCAGCTTGTTCTGGGAGACGGTCTCCCTGTCTTGTGGGTGAGACCTGCAACAGAGTGTGCAAGTGCAATGAGCTAAGATCAGATCTCATCCACCTGCTCACTCAGTATTATGTTTAATGCACAAAATGAGTTGAGGTCAAAGAAAATAGTGGCAACTTAAATCTTGGAAGCCAAAAATAAATAATATGTTTGTTTTTATTATTTATGTTTAAAAAATTCAATAAGAATCCTAAAATTCTAAACAAAATATTTTTTACAAAATAATAATGTTAACCCGGTACATGATAAAATATAATTCAATTCTCCAGAATAAGTTCCCGTAATAATTTATACTTGAAATAAAATTTCAATATACAAAAAACAAACTATATAATAAAAATAAATAAATAAAATAACTTTCATCTTTTGATGGATAATTTTTTCAATGGGACAGACAAGTTGCTTTTTTCCACCAACAAGAAACTCCTGCTGTACAAAACACTAAATGAACAACAAACAACATATAATTCAGATACCTACAGTCAATGTTTTCTGATACATTAAGGGAAAATTTACTTTTTGATTTTGTATGTAATAAAAGTATTTAATGACAATATATGGTATATTTTTAAAGAAAAATTACAGTTAATAAATTTAATTAAATGATTACTAATAAATAATATATTTAGAATTGCAAATACAAAAAATCGTTTTTCTGTATATATTTAATTTGGTCTAGGTTGGCTTCATTCACAAAGTATTGGATAGCAATTGCTCTTGCAAAGGTGGCAAAGGATTCTGCAAATGTAACCTGCAGTTTGTTATTTTGTGAATATGGAAAATACTTGTTCCAAGACAGATCAATCAATGATTCGGAATTGACCTACTGAAGTATAGTTGGAAAAGTATCACAAAGGTTCTAGAATTGAATGCACTTTTCCACCTGCCATGGGGAGTCGAAATGACTTACTTTATAAATGTGAAAATGTTAATATTACTTCTGCACATCTTTTGGAAGATGTTATGTTACATAGTGAGATAAACACAGAAATAAATTATTCAACAAATTGAGAAGAAAGATGAGAGAAAAGCAAGCAAAGAATTAAAATGAAAAGAAGTGTGTGATCCTAAATAAACAATAAAATTCACTACGAAGTTCTGACATGTGATATTAAAAACCGTAAAATAAAGTTCACTGCAAATGAAGTGTACAAGCAGAATGAATTTTTCTGCAAAAGAGTCAGTATAAATGAAAAACAATGGCTTGAAATAAGTTTCGAATCACATGATCAATCCGAATTTCTGGCATGCCACAAAAAGGGTTTAATTCAAATAACTGCCAGAAGTAGGCCCCACAGAATCAAAACACAAACAAAACATTTTGAAGGTTTAGCTCTCAAGATTTGTTGATCAACAAGCTATAGAAATTTCCACAATTAAATATCGAAGGACGGTGAAAAAATTGGCGCTAGTCTTATTTGAGGCAATCACAATGTATTTTCGAAAATTGCGAAATTTTAATATTAAAAACTACAAAACTGAAGATGGAAATTTTTACAATAAACAAAGTCTGTTTTAAACAATCAGCCCTCAAAATAACATTTACAAATTTTGAAAAGGGTGTTTTCCGTGTAATTAGTGATTGAAATGAATGCAATAGCTATATAGCATTACATACGAGAATGACGTGTGTGAAGTATGTTCTGTTGAAGTACCTCTAGTTTTGTCTATTCATCAATAGACCTATTTTACATTATTGTTCATCGGAATGAAGTATTTGTCATCCCTAATTCAAAAAATTGATAACTTCTATTTTATCCATTTTATCTTGTATACCAGCATAATATAAATGACTTATTCTGTTGAAAGAAATCGTTAATAAACGGGCATTTTACGGCACAAACGACATATTAGTATTATACCGCACAAATGATTGGGTTATCACACGTTCAGCCAATCGCAACGAGAGAATCGTGAAGAGAAGGTAAACCACAGCCCTCTCTACGAATGCCTGTTCATGGCCCCTGCAACGCCGACCCGCCGTCCGATAGTTCTGTCTCCGAGCGCAAAGTGAATCGACGAACTTCTGCTGTGTGAGCGTAAATCACATAAAACAGATTCAATAAAGTTTACTGTTAGTTTCCCGCAGGTACAAAATGCCAGATACGTGCGACGTGCCTGACTGTAGTAGTAATATCGATAAGTGCTATAAATCGGAAGGATACGAGTATACGCGGTTTGTCCGGTTTCCTAAAGACACCGACTTTCCAGAAGACAACCACTTTCTATGGCTTGTGAATTGCTGCAAAATATTTAACAATTAGACTTCATCGTCACTCCAAGACTGTCAACGATGATTTTCACCACCCCAAAATCAGGCATCATGCAAAACTCATTATTTTCTGGACAGTTGTGTAAGTGAGCAATTGTAACGTGTTTATTCATTTGATTTAAAGGGTTTTGTAAATATGTGTTAATACGTATTGTGCTTGGTTTTAAATGTGTATATGTCTCCCATAAATTCAACCCCTCGTCCAAGCCATGGTGACATCACGAAGTCATAGCTAAGACATAGCTAAGTCATGGCTAACGAGATTCGGGTACCATTCAGATTAATAATTTTATTGCAGAGATCTGTACTTTAAAATTTATTTAATGTATAATGTTTAATGTTTGAATAAATGGTGAAATTTGATAACTTGTATGTTAATTATATTTTACTACAATTCGTGATATCCAACAGAGTTAAACTTACAGTTCTACATGAACAATGTGAATTATGTAATAGCTATTACGCTAACATGGTAAATTCAATATTTCAATATGATATGCTCAAAATAGCTGAAACCCAAGGGTAAACGTGCCTATAATTATTGCATTCGAGAAATGATCGTGAAAATAATTAACTATAACAGCGTGACTTCGCGGCACCCAGCGCCTAGCGGGCAACGCGCATATGCGAATAAATGTGCTCTGAGTACATGCCATGATGTTATTTCAAAGACACGTAAGCCCCTTCCATTTCCCTAACAAATAGGAAATACAACCCGCCCCGATTCGAGTTCGTCTCGAATCCAAGTGTGGAATTGCCTCTGCTGACGGGGTTCTCCGGAATAGAAGCGGTCGTTACCACGACCGCACGGGGGCCGCTACCAGGTAGATAGACGGAAGCGGCGATCAACGGGCCAGCCGTTCCTACGACTTCTGATCGCATCCAGGGTAATCGATATATATATATATATATATACACACACATACATAAAATCTTTTTTTGACCATAAAATTGCATTACATACATTTTTTGTTTCACAAATTTTCCATTAGTAATTTCTCTAAATACTTCTCAAGAGTTCGTACTCTCTCCATATTTGATACTGCATTGTTCTCTGCCTCTATCGTAATGCAGTCTTAAGGGTAAATGTCCCGACACTAGTACAATTTGTAGCCACCACGTGGCAGCACCAAAATAAGTAAAA